TATTTGTAATTATTTATACACATTGGAAAAGCTTCACTGGGAGAGACAGAGAGCTCCACACTAGAATAACCCATAGCTCCGTGCTTAGGGACATTCATCAGGGACAGTGGAGGCCCAACTTCAAATACCTTCTCCTCATCAGGCAGAGGGGGGAACTGAACCAGGGTCTCCCACATCCCAGCTGAATACTCTAACCACTGGGCTAAAAGTTACAAAGGCGGAGGTGGGCAGGCTGCTTCCTATGTTTTATGGGGGTTTAGATGGGCTCAGAGCACACCTAATGGATCATCCCCAGGCCTCATTTGATGATCCCACTGCAGCTTTGGCCTGAGATAGGGTCCTGGTTCCTAGATGGAGGCAGCTGTGCACATGCTCGCTGACAGAAACTGAGGCTTCTCAGGGACTTTAACAGTGGAAGTTTAGGCACCTAGAGAGTTAGGGGAATTTGAGGATCTCAGTAGTGCTTGAATGTTGGCGCCTACATTTTAAAAAAGTATTTAGGTATTGAAATCAATGGGAATTAGGCACCTCAATGCCTGTCAAAATGTGGTCCCTTGCCTTTAGTCTTTCTGTGCCTGAGTTATTATTTGGTATATTACTTGTTTATCCATGTTCTGGAACCAGTAAAAGGTTTTACTAAAAATAACTAAACATAATGACTTCATTTATTGCATTTTTATGGGGAAGAGAAATTGTACTGAAGCCAAGGGCCAGGCGACAACTGGTTGTGGGTAGATCCTTTACTCTAAATTTGGTTCCCTCCTTTTTTCATAGAGTAAAACTATGTTTTTATTGTTATCGCTTTGATTGTTTCATTGTGTTTTATGAGAGGTTGTTTCTGTTTGGATACAGAAAGACACCTTGAAGCAGCGAGTTTGAGCCGGCAGTTCTACGTAATTATCTGAACCTTATCTCCAAACGCCGATAAGCAGTTTTAATGGGTTTATATTATTCCCACCCTGGCTTCGCTAACTGGAAAACTTAACACCACACAAAGGGTCGTGGCCACACAGATGGTTAGGGGAGTTAATGTGATGGAAGGCAAAGGTAAAAATGCTATAGAAATTCATTAAACAAAACACTTTAGCAGTGTTGGTAATACAAGTAGAGTTTAAAATGAACTAACGGTGGGGCTGATAGTGCAAGCTGATGCCTGTAGGCAGCTGCCACCCTGGCAGCCAGTTTAAAGATGGGTCTCAGAGCATCTAGGTTCCCTGCTCTGTGGCAGGAGCCTGGTAGCCCACAGAGCTCTCAGGGCTTCTAAACTCTTGGGTCTGTGGTGTGGGACTCCCTGGGCTACTTCTGGCTCCAGAGATCTCCCCAGGCTGCCCCCCACCCACTTCCTGGGAACAGTGGCTGGGAGTCAGGAGCAGTTGGCTGCTTTATTTCATCTAGAAAAAAAAATGCAACAGAAAGAATTCAATTTCCCCCTGAAATTGTGAAGTTTCCTTTCCACGGGCTATTTTGAAATTTCCATGTTTTGTTCTGAATTGGCCCAAACCCTTTATTGAAATGTCAATTTCCCACAGAATGGAAATGCCATCTTTGGACCAGCTCTAGTTCTAAGGCCCAAAGCTCCGTGCAGCCTCACCCACCACGACCCTGCCCAGCAAAGACAATGCACTTCTCATTCTAGCTGTCTCATCTATTCTGTGGAGACTTCCCTTATGTTTTACTAAGAATGCATTCTTGTCCATTGCTTCATTGTGCTGTTTTGGAGACCTATCTAAAACATAGGGAGAGTTGAGTCTGTTGAGAAGCTTATCAATAAGATTAGCACTTACATGACCTAGGATAGATTATTGAGTGAGGTTCTTTGGCCTGCCTTACACAGGAGGTCAGATTAGATGGTCATAATAGCCCCTTCTGGCCTTAAAAACCTATGAATCAACCAAGGCTGCTAATCCCCACACTGAAGAGCATAAGGGCACTCACCAGATGGGCTTATGAGTTAACGTGCTACCACAGTTGAATGTGACTATTACATCAGTCCTCCTCCTGTGCTAAAATATATTTGCCTAACACCATGAATCTAATTACAGGTGGTTGGGGAGTAGTTTTCTTCCCCCCACCCAAATTTTTTGGTGTTGTTAAATTTTCAATCAATAGTTTCAATGAAAACCCAAAAGCCTTCTATGAAAGCAGAAATCAATTGTTGGGAAAAGTTCTAGTGTGTTGAAAAAGACAGTTCATTTATTTATGCTTTGGGGAAAATAATTTTGATTGAAATTTTTCAGCCATCTCTTGTTCTTCTCTGTGTTGTGAAACAGGCTAAAGGCTATGATTAGGCACGAACTGTGGATACATGTGTGCAGGAGAAGTTTCTTTGACAATCAAGGATGGGAGAAATATTCTCCTTATGGTGTTCTTGGGTGGGTGAATGACCACTTTCAAATTCACCTGCAGGCTGACTAGTATAAGAATGTTGACTTGCATCTGACGAAGTGGGCATTCACCCATGAAAGCTTATGCTCCAATACCTCGGTTAGTCTTAAAGGTGCCACAGGACTCTCTATTGCTTTTTACAGATCCAGACTAACACGGCTACCCCTCTCATACTTGATTATCAAAGTTCCCTAGAAACGTGGAGTGAAATCCTAGCCCCAAAGACAACAATGGGAAAACTTCCCATTGCTTTCAAGGGGGTAGAATTTCATCTCTGCTTCTTACATATATAATGCCAAAACAGATGATAAAGAGAAAAGGTCCCTGACCCCACCTAGTCAATGGACAGACCAAAGATGAAGGATAGAATGCAAGAAAAAAAATACATGTATTCAGCAGTGAAGTATAGCATGTCTTATTAGTTTATCCTATTAAAATCTCTTTTTAATTATGTTATCTTTTTGTTAATCTTTGCATACAGCTGAGGGACTAGTAGTTTTAGGCCACCTGGAAGAAGGGTATCGTAAGGAGAGACTTCAAGGAAGGGGAAAAAATGGCAATATCCTAGATCAGGCCAGGATTCTCAGGTAACCATTAGCATTTTGTAGCACTTTTCATTTTCAAAGGGCTTTAGAATGGTTCATTAATTCATCCTCCCTGCACCTCTGACACACAAATAATTATCACTCTTATTTTACAGAGAAGGACACCAGAACACATGGCAACATTGTCAGAAATGTTCACTACTTTTGAGTCCAACTTGAGCCACCTGCAGGGAGAGAAGCTGGCCCCAGAATTGTTTTAATAGGCTATAATTGGTCTTATTTTTTATTAAGGAAATTAGGATGCTTTGTATAGGCATCACCCTGATTGTTTTATGATGATTTTTTTAGATATGAAATGCCCAGTCTACTGAGATATGTAAATAAAGATGCTAGTCTTATTAAGTGAGTGAGGATGGAGACGACAGGACAAATTTGCATACAGTTACTCAGTGCACATGCACGCAGGTCACTGCTTGCCAAAAGACCCAAAATAACCCTATTTGCACTGAGGTACAAAATAAGCACCTACAATGACATAACCACCTCCCCCACCAACTCACTGTATATATTACTAGCATTTGTGGTGAAATCTTGGCTCCCCTGAAGTCAGTAGTAGGGACAGGATTTCACCCTCAGTATATACACAGAAATCGGTCAACAAAACACCCTTCCACACCAGTACAAACAGTATCATTCCAGACATTTTCAAGATTACTCAGCCCCCATTTAAGGATCTAAATCTGTGGCATGTGTTTCCAGAAGCACTCGGCCTCCTGCATCTGCCATTGTCATAGATTTAGGTACCTCTTAGCTACGGGATGCTGAACTCTGTTAGAAGTCTGGTCTCTAGGTGCTAAAGCCACACTAAACACAGGCGGCCTGATTTTCACAGGTGCTAAGCATCCACCGCTTCCATTGACTTCACTCATGTTCTTTGGAAGTTCCACTCCTCTGAAGATCACGGCTATGTTGTGCAGACCCTGCCTATAGGGGAGACCTCATTCCTCATGCTGTGGCCTGGCTGTTGTCTGACAGCATCTGCCTTTCAGGGACTCCATTGTTATGCCTTCGCTCACTAGGTGCTTGGGTCTTTGCTAAGGTAGTTTCACCTTGACAACAGTCTCAGTCTATCTTGCCTCACTCACACTAAACCCAGGATCATTTTTCTTTTTCAGAGGTGCTTAAACATTATTGACAATGTGGTCTGGTGATCAGAGTGCAGGATTGGGAGGGCTACCTCTATTCTGCTACCGAGCTGCTGTGAAACCTTGAGTAAGTCACTTAACCTGTCTGTGTAACCTAAGTCTCTCCATCTAGAAAATGGGGATAACACAGCAATATATTTGAGATCCTAGAATGAAATCTAATATGACCATCTGGACTGGCCCATTCTGGATTCAATACCAGGGTAAATGAGAACTGAATCTGATCCTAGTACCACAGAGTAGAGGTCTGCTTGGGCCTAAGTTGTTAGCCCGACCCAAACCTGAAATGGGCCCACACCCACCCGAGCAGGTCAAGTAGTTTTCCCACCCAACCCTGACATTTCCCCTGAACTGGAGTTAGCACCACTGCTGCCTAGGGGTTGGTGCAGCCACAGATGCATGAGCTGGTGGTTGCCTGGCCTGCTCTCATGCGGTGCGATGAGAGGCACTGCGACTCCTGGGCATGCTCATGTACAGCACAGTGCCAGCGGCCAGCAGGAGTGAGGGACGCAGACACAGCCACCGGCCTTATGGGCAGGAGGAGTAGAGCTGACACGACCCAAGCCTCAGAGGCTTGCATAGTTTTCCGACCAGACCCACCCCAAACATGACACTTGTAGCTGGGGCCTGTTGTCGCTCCATGGTAGACCCTGTAACTCATTCACAAGACAGAGGGTAAGGGGGCAGATTGTGTTGTTGATTGCTCTGGTATAAATGTAGAGTAACTCCAAAGAAACCTACTATTTTAAGTCAGAGTGGTAGCCATGTTAGTCTATATCAGCAAAATAAATAAATGTGTTAGTCTAAGGTGCCACAAGTATTCCTGGTTCTTTCTACTATTTTAATGTTTCTTTCTCTGTAAGGGAGACATGTATGAAAGCCATTCAACACAAACAGCCCTAATGGTTCACTGACACACCAAGGGATGAAGTACATAACATAAAGCAAAGGTTACATGAATCAGAAGGAGCAAAGTAGAATTCTGAATCACAGAGAAAGTAGCCAATCAGCAAAAGAACCTCCAGCTGGTACCCATAAAGCTGGTGACACATTAACCATGACATCAGTGCAAGTTGTATTTTACATCCAATAACCTAGTAATCTTATAGGGCCTGAACCTGTGGTCCTTACTCAGGCTTCGGTAAATATTTTGCCTGCATAAGCTCTCCTAATCAGGTAGCTATAAACCTCCTAGAGTTGTCACTTTTGCAGCAGTGCGGAGAAAACCACCAGGCAAGGCTAATATTCTGAGCGGTTTCATCTGAATCATCCACTGGAGGAGCCAAGGACCAAAGATACATGACCCAGGCCTTACAAAAGGAAGGTCAGCCAATTTCCAGGCTAACATTATAGTATGTTTCACATAAAGTGATAATTCAGTGTAATGAATTAACCATTACAACCTCTGTTCAGCAAGGTACTTAAGCATATGCCTAAATCCAAGTATGGGAGTAATCCCACTGAAGTAGTAGCTCAGTGAGATTAGCCACCAGCTAAAGAGTTTTAGCTGGACTGTAAATTCCTTGTGGGATGGAGCTGTGATTTTAAATGGGTCTGTCAAGCACCACATGCACCTTTTCTGCTGAATTAACAATAAATCAGTGGTCCAGCGTAGCAGGGCTCAATAAAGGGATTACAGCTCAGAAGGTCTCCCCTTCTATGCCCATACTTAGATCACTAAGTCATGCTACTCCCTCTTTAGATGCAACTTTGCATTTTTCTGTGAGCCAGCATGAAGGAAGCCATTATCTCACTTCCTTTCCAATTGGCCAGCAGAGAATGGAAGTGTTTTTCCACAGTAAATTTGGGGTCATTCAGAATGAAAGGCAATACACGCATGTAACGTTCCTAGTGTTCCAGACTCCGACCTGGACCCAACCCATCCAACAGGTGCTTCACCAAGGAACAAGCCAGCAAACGTGAAACATTTTCAAATGGCAGCCGGAAAGGAGAGGTCCTCCAACAGCTCAGCACCAACCATCCCTTGGGATTTGCCACTATCAGGGTCTCCTGGATTGTTTTGGAGAGGAAATCATAGATTTAGTCCTGTTGCCCTGGGGCGATGGACTCCGTTTGCCTGCAGCAGAAACACACAATGCTCATGGGTGGGTGCTAGAAATCTAAAGGGAACATAACAGGATTAAACCCTATTGTCTCCTCATTAGGTTTCAGAGACTCACCTTCTGCAGACGGAAGCTCTAAGAGCACAGTTGGTTTTTTGCCAGCCTTTTTGGATTTCACTCTGGTAGAAGAGACCTTGGAATCTTCCCAGTTACACAGTTTAGCTTCAGAGAGAGGAGAAAAGCATTCTGAGTTGGAAAGGTTGGAAACTTCAACACTTGTACCACCATGGCACTCACTATCTGATTTCACCCAAACCAACTGTAGCACTAATTCTCCAATTAATAACAGAAATGAAAAGGCCAAAAAAAATAAATCAAAGTTTAAGGAGGAGTCTAGTATAGTTATTCTAACAAGAGACTGGGAGTCAGGTCTCTTGGATTCTATTCCCAGCTCCAGGAGCTTAGTCAAGTGATTACAGAAGGTGATGGTGCAACAAGACCTCCTGGGTTCTCTTTCCAACTCTGCCACTGACTCACTGGGTGACTTTGTGCAAGTCATTTATCTGCTCTGTGCTTCAATTTCACTACTGTAAAAAGAGGACAATAATACTTACCGATCAGAAATCCTGGGAGGAGGGTTATGACTCAATTACTTAACATTTGCAAAGTGCCTAGAGCTCTTCAGATAAAATATTCCTTACAATTACAAAATATAATCAACTATTCAGGCTCTGAATGTAAGTATATGCAGAATAAATCAATCATCTCAGACACTGATTGACATTATGATGATTATTATGCTGGCTACCTGTATTGATCTGATCCAGCCATTGGATCAAGAGCGCCATAGGGCCACAACACTACTAGATAACTAGTTTAGGCCACTGCAAAACCATATGGGCAATCAATAAGGCTGGTCCCCAGACAAGTGCTTCCTGCTCTTCGCAACCTTCTCTATGGGTTATATGTTAGCCAAAACACGTATCACTCCCAGGAAATGCTGGACTAATTTAACTGTAAATTGAAACAAAAGAGCACACTCTTTCCCAGGAGAGAGATGTGTTGCCTGCAGCACGCAAGTCTGCTCCTGTCTAAAACAGCAATACAACACCCCAAATGGAAGGAAATTCAGAGGCACTTTGGATATAAATACCTGTAGAAAAGGAACCATTGCTTCTTAAGCACCCCCTTGCAGGCAAGCATGGCTCTAGCAGGAACTTATTACCCTAGGTCTCCAGGGTTTAGGAGCCTCATTTCTAAAACTCCCTGGCTGGAGTGGGTATGGGAACCCAGGCCCGCCCAACTAATCCCTGGGTTCCACTTCAGGGCCTGTGTTTGAAAGGGCTAGAACCAGTCCTTCTCCATCCCTTATTGTCCTCTAAGCTATTTCCACCCTCTGTAGTCTTTCTTCCCCAGCCTCCTAACCTGTTTCTCCCTCTTTGAGGTGTTGGTTTTGTCTAGCAGTTTCTCACCAGTCTGCTGGAAGAAGTCCCTCTCTGCAATCCCTTAGTCTGACTGGCAGCAGCAGCTTTTCTGCTCAGAAGTTCCCTCTCTAATTGAGATCCTTAACCTTGTATCATGCTCAGGTGCTTCCCTGCCTAATTGACTACCTCCTAGTTACTCAGTGAATTAACTACTCCCAGGTGAATCTGAGCTGTCTCATCCCCTCTAAGCTAGGCCTGCTGCCCTCTAACAATGCCAATTTGGCTCCAAGAAACTGCAAAGAAATATTTCTGACTGAAAATTTAAATCTTTCTCTCTTAGCTTGGGCTTTGATCCCTTCCTGAGCAATACAGCTGAGATGGTATCTTCTTTTATCTTGGAAATAAACCCAACATCCTAACATGCTTTGTGTATCAGTCTCATAAGACCATCTAGCTCACTAGCACTACTTACCAAGGAACTTAGGGTTAATAACTCCTTCATCTTTCAGTAGTGGTGTAAATACTACCTCTGAAGAACCTTCACCACCTGAAAGGGGACAAAGGAATTTCATAAAGAGAGAAACAATTATCCTGAGGATGCACTGTCTAGTGGCCGGAATTGGGACTAGGCACCAGGAAATCTTAATCTGACAGTGACTCACTGTGTAGTTTTGGCCTAGTCATTCAAGTCAAATTTTTCAGAAGTGGCCTCTGATTGGAGGTGCCCAACTTGATATTCAGAAAGTGCTGAGCACCTGCAGCTCCCATTGACTTTGACTGCAGTTGTAGATGCTCAGCATCTCTGAGAACATAAGACCATAAGAACGGCATAGTGTGTCAGACTAAAGGTCCATCTAGGCCAGTATCCCATCTTCCAACAGTGGTCAATGCCAGGTGCCCCCAGAGGGAATGAACAGAACAAGTAATCCTCAAGTGATCCATCCCCTGTCACTCATTCCCAGCCTCTGGCAAACAAAGGCTAGGGACACCATCCCTTCCCATCCTAGCTAATAGCCATTGACAGACCTATTCTCCATGAATTTATCTAGTTCTTTTTTGAACCCTGTTATGGTTTTGGCCTTCACAACATCCTCTGGCAAGGAGTTCCACAGGTTGACTGTGCATTGTGTGAAGAAATACATCCTTTTGTTTGTTTGTTTGTTTGAAACCTGCTGCCTATTAAGAAATGCATAGCTTGGGTTGGGAAACCCCCAAATTAATCCTCATTGAACATTTCAACCATAACATCTTTTTACCTCTGTTTCCCCATCTGAAAAAAGAAGGGTGATAATACCTGCTTTGCAAAGGGCTGTAAGATCTACAGATGAAAGGTGCTGTATAACCTGAAACTGTAAAATCTTTTGTTTTTCTCTGGAAGAGGCTACAGAAGGGACTGATCAAGATAAATCACTTTGGTCTTGAATGGAAACCTCTTTCACAATGCTGGGGAACACTCATGAACATGCTCGAAGCATAGACAGCACCTGTGAATAAGTCTGGGAAGTGCTCTGCAGCTCCAGGACCCTTGTGGTAGGCTAGAGGTGTGACGGTGCCTATCCCAAAGGAGAATGGTCACCATGCCTTGTACCACGTCTTGAGTGGCAAAGTATTAGAGGATGTAGGAAATCTCACCACTCCCATTTGGAATGCTAGGGAGAGCTGGCACCATGCCCTCCAAGTGCTGTGTTCCTTTACAAGCCCCCCATTTCTTTTGCTAGTCATCAAAACGCTAGTGGCCAAAAGGCAGAGGCATTTTCTTCTTGCGGGACCGACAATGCTGTACCTACGTGTGACACTGAGGAGTACACAGATCTCTCGCTCGCTCAGAAGCTCTGAGGCATAGCAATGTTGGTTCTGAAGCAAATTCTTCACCTGGCCACTCACGTCTGCCAGCTCGATTTCACCTGCAAAGCATGACACAGATAAGGGCTGAAGGCCAGCGAAGTCTGGGAGCAGGAGGAGTATGATTCAGGCCCATCTCTAAAATGAAAATCTTTCTTGTTCTGAGCATAAAAATCTGCACAGGACCAGCTAGAATCCATAACCGGTAACTAGAAACCTACACCTTATTAGCTTATTTCATGTGATTTAACAAGTTCATGGGGCCTCCTTAGAGACACTGGCTTCCTGTTATGTCACACTGGGACCATGGTAACTTGGAGCCTTTGTATGCAACTATACATGGGATTACATGCAAGAGCACCAGAGGTTGGCCCCTGTGGCCTGATTTGAACTGGAATATCAGCAGAGCCTCATGGACTCCAGTTACAATCTGCAGGTAGTTAGCGTGAACATTCTCTCAGACTTCAACCCCGTAAGGCTTGAGGATGCCCCCACCCTGAAAGTGAAAGTCGGCAGAAACCCGGTCTAGTGTCAAACTGCATGGTCAAGCACAGCTGTAACAAGACGGGGCCCCTGGAAAGGCACAGTGACCCACCATACCTTCATTCTCATAGCCACAGCAGTGTTTGATGCTCTCCAGGAGAAGCTGGACTTTGCAGTGAATGTTAAAAAGGGTCTTTTCGTTTTCTGTTGAGAAAGACATAATTCATGGGGCAAAACTTAAACTAGTTGTGGCTGCAGGGAGCAGGCCCATCGAGAGAAATACGGGGCTCTGGTACATCATGTTCACTGAAGCCCCACCCCTACCATTTTGCCCCCATCTCACCCCAGTTACAGATATTGAGCTTGGAGCCTCAGTACAACTGTCTCCCTTTCCTTCCCTCTTGTCAGTCTGGCTGGGAGCTCTGCACAAAACCAAAAGCTTTCTCCCTAAGCTATTCTGGCTTAGCCTGTCCCAGCAGGATGGTTGAATTCTGGATGAGGGGGAAAAAGACAATTACCTTTTCCGTAACTGGTGTTCTTCAAGATGTGTTGCTTATGTCCATTCCATATTAGGTGTGTGTGCTTGCCACATGCATCGGTGCTGGAAGTTTTTCCCTTAGCAGTATCCATAGGCCACTGTGCCTCGACTCCAACCTATCCGACTGAGACGAGTTCCTCCCACGGGACCCCGGGGATCTTTGGCATTTGGCATATCTGTGTCAGTAGACCGGTGATCTACGCCTCACGCTGCTTGACCTGTACCGGGATCTAGAGCAGGACGGTCATTGGTAGAATCTCGTCGATAGAGGGGATTCGCGTCTTGGCAACGGGTGCCGGCAGGTAGGTGACCGGTGACCCCATTCCGCTGATTGGTTGCAGGACCAGTGCCGAGACGTTGGAGACACAATGGGTCAGTCTCGACGCTCATGCCAGGGGCATGATACTGCGCAGGTCTGCGTCAGGTTACCAGCGAGCCGTGCCTCCAATCCCGCTGTCGGTGCCCAGGGTCCGGAGACTGAAGAGGGCTTCTCTGAGCCTGCTCCCAAAGTCCGAGGCATGACGGCTCTGTGCGGGTGAGCGCTGATGGGATGTCCCCCCCTGCTGATGTGGGGACATTTGGAACGGTCCCAAGGAGGTTTACCCCTGGGCTTGGGTACCTCTGGAGCCAATGTGGGCGGCACTGGTAGCGTCAGGATCTCGGGACTTCGAGTTGACAGAGGTCCTCGTCAATGTCCAGTGTGGCGGGCATAGTGAGGGAGGGGCTCGACCCCTCGATATGAGCTGGGGCCTGACTCCCTGACGGAGGTGTTGAGCCGCCCAGCATGGGTCTTGGCTCTCCTCCGCCCCTCTCCTTTCCCTTACGAGATGTGGGAGATCTTCCCCTCGCAGACATGTTGGGCTTCTTGGCCAGGGTCAGGGCTGGGGCGGGGAATCGGTGCTGGCTCGTAGATGGCACCAGCGGGGCACTCTGTACCGATGCTGCGCTGCTCGGGGCCGAGTCAGACCTCTGCTCCGGTGCCGGAGTCAGCGCCGACTCCATCAGGAGTGCCCTGAGACAGATGTCTCTCTCCTTTTTCGTTCCGGGTTTGAACGACTTACAGAAGCGACACTTGTCTACAGTGGGGGTTAAATCAACCTAACGGTAGAGTACAGGGTGTGAATTTTTCACAGTTCTAGGGTGACCTACATTTTAGGTTATGACCAAGCTCCTTCAGGCCCTTAGGGCCAGATTTTTAAAGGTATTTAGGCACTGCTGCACTCAGCTTTGCAATGCCTCACTGATTATGGAGTCTAAATGTCATTTTAAAATGTGATTAAACACTTAGGATCCTAAATCTCATCAACTGTCAAGGGGATTTTGGCTCTTCATGGCCTAAATACCTTTTGAAAATGAGATTTAGGTGCCTGAATCAGTTAGCGATTGCAAGGCTGAGCCTAGTAATGCCTAAATGCCTTTTAAAAATCTGGGCCTAAATCACTTTTGAAAATGCAATTTCGGCTCCCAAGTCACTTAGACATTTTTGAAAATTTCACCCAGGAAACTTTTCACTTACCTTCTCCTAACATTAGAGCTGGACAAAAAATACCAAGTATTTTTTGTAGGAAATTTTGAAAAAGAAAATCACTTTCTATGCAATATTTTAATTTTTTTCCCGCCAAAAACAGTATACCAATGGGGGACAGGAATGCTAGCTTTATTGCCTCTTTTGTCCTGAGTGACTAAGTTCCTTATGGACAGGTAGGAGGCAACAGAAATCCAAGGCTGGCAAGTCACTTACCTCCATGAAGCACCGTTATAAACATTTCTACCAATAACCTAAAAAAAAAAAAAAAAAAAAAAAAAAAAAAACC